CACTAATGTTAAACAATGTGGATGTGAAAATATTGAAAATGTAAAATCCACCAAATATCTTGGTGTAATAGTAGATCACCGACTATCCTGGCACGCTCAGATTGAGGCTGTAAATGATAAGATACGTAAACTTATTTGGATCTTTAAAAAGCTGAGACACGTGACCTCTAAAGAACTCATAAAGAGTATATATATAGCATTGGCTCAATCTGTTATGAGCTATTGTATCTCGATCTGGGGTGGTGCCTCCAAGATAAAATTCCTGGAAGCAGAAAGAGCCCAGAGATGCTTGCTAAAGACGATGTTTGATTGATTGATTGAATATTCTTTATTGCACTATGAAATACAGTAAGAAAGGTACATAAAACTAGATTCAGTAACACAAAAGGCGGCCTTATTGCTAAGGTAGCAATCTCTACCAGGCGACCCTAGGCTAAAGGAAATGATACCAATAAAGAAAAATTAACTGCGGGTTAGTGCAATAGGGGAAACAACACACGAGAACGTATAAAGTGCAAATATATAAATAAAACTTACGATAGTAAAGTAATAGATTGGAAGTTCAAGAGGAATAGTCCAGATTGAGGAAATATTCTTTTATCAATTTATTGAATGAGTTCCGTGATTGCGCGCGTCTGATATCTATAGGCAGAGAGTTCCATAGTTTGATTGCTTTAACTGTAAATGACTTGGCTACGAAATCAGTATTGTGGGAAGGCATGACTAAAGATAAATTATAGGAAGACCGCAGATCTCGGGTAAGATTCGTAGAGTGAAAGACGAAGCGCTCTTTGAGGTAATGCGGTGTGTGTGGGTGAAAGAGGATGGAATATAGGAGTGATAGGATATGACAGTCTCTTCTACGAGAGATAGGTAGCCACTGAAGTTGGGTACGATAATCAGAAATATGATCATACTTACGTAGACCAAAGACAAAACGGATACACAAATTCTGCAGTCGCTCAAGTTTATTTAGGAACACGACACTTAGGTCTGTATAACATGAATCAGCGTAGTCAAGCAAAGGGAGAAGAAGTGACTGAGCAAGAGTGATTTTAGTCTTAGTCGGCAAAAGATTCCTAAGTCGCTTAAGTGAGCTATATGCACCAAATACCCTCCTACTAACCTCTCGGACATGAAGGCTCCAAGACATATTGCAATCAAATATGACACCAAGATTTTTTACAGACTGAGTGAAAGGTACACGATTGCCGTTTATTAAGATAGGTGGCAGTGTATCATAATTTAACCTAGCCTGATACCAATGACTTCCAATGATGATCGCTTGAGATTTTAGAGGATTGACTAACAGACCATGACGCCGACTCCAATCAGATATATGTTCAAGATCATTGTTAATAATGGTAATTGCAGTGGGTATTTCTTCCAACGCACATTGGCTATAAATTTGGAAATCATCTGCATACATGTGATAGGAAGAAGATAGAGGGAGGGCTATTGAATTAATGAAAATAGAGAATAGAAGCGGAGACAAAACGCCACCCTGTGGAACTCCGGCTGTTGTAACGCACCAATCTGAGAGAATATCTCCTACACATATGCGTTGCCGTCGCCCATACAGGTAACTACGAAACCAACCAATCACCTGTGGAGATACATTGAGAGAAACCAGCGTTGCTAGCAAAATTTCGAAATCAACAGTGTTGAATGCATTAGTGAAATCTAACAACGTCAGTATGGTGAGCTGCCGATTTTCCATTCCTGTGCGAATATCATCAGCAATCTTGACAAGTGCAGTAGTCGTACTATGACCGGGACGGAAACCAGATTGAAATGGATTCAGAAGGTTGTTCAAGGAAAGGAATTTACTAAACTGTTGATAAACTAGCTTTTCAAGGACTTTGGAAAGGAAAGGCAATATGGATATAGGCCGGTAATCGGAAAAGCAATCAGGCTTAGGTTTCTTAGGCACAGGCACTATATTTGCATCCTTCCATGCAGAGGGGTAAAAAGACGTCAAGATAGATTTGTTGAGGATGTTGGTAATTACAGGAGTTAGGATATCTAGAAGAGGAATTATCATATTACGACTAATGCAATCGCTACCGATCGCATTGGACAAAATAGCAAGTATATTCTTCTCAATGTCACACTCGGTAAATGGTTCAATGACAAAAGGAGCAAATGACGGTGTTGGCATAGAAGAAAGAGTATTTAAAGTATGAGTTTTGATGCTTCCGTCCATAGAAGCAGACGAGCAGAAGAATGTATTCAAGGCATTAATATTAGTATTTGGTGGTAGAGTGGGATTACATTTATTTTTCCCAATACCAAGCTTATTTAGAAATCGCCAAACTTTGGCGGGATCACCGTTTTCAACGGAAGCATGAATATGGCGTCTTTGTTTATCCCTTATCAATGTATTGCAGTGATTTCTGATTTCCCTATAACGATCGCGATTTGCATCTGACGGGTTTTTTTTAAATTTAGATTTGGCACGTACCTTTCTGTCAATTATTTTGCGTACCTCCTCTGTAAGCCAAGGAGCAGGAACATGCTTAACACGTACAGGTCGAACGGGAGCATGATTATCCATGAGATGGATAAGCAACGAGTTAAATAACTCCACCTGTTCGTTAATCGTCTCAAGTCTATCAATTGCCAACCAATCGACTTTAAGAGCATCTTCTCGGAGGCGGTCAATATCCATTCCATAGAAGTTACGCAACAGTTGAATCGACGCTTTGCGTTTAGGAGGACGTATTCGATAGGACAGATAAATCAAATCATGGTAAGAAAACTGGTCGGCTGTTAATTGACCATATTTAACAACATGACCCGGCGATGACACCATGATAAGGTCAAGCAGAGAGGGAGTACAGTTTGGAAATTTATGCGTCGCCGAAAGAGGAAGAATATGCATATTGCATGAATTAACTACATTACATAACCTTACACTTCGGGAATCATTTTTTAGCAGACAGGTGTTGAAGTCGCCCATGATGATGGAATGATCATAATTAGGGATCAGATCTTCAAGAAGAAGCTCAAAAGAGTGAAAGAAATCGATTTTGGAATTGTATCTGAATCATAAATTACTGACACTAAGAAAACTGTACATCATTAACTGTGTTCTTAAATTACATAAAAACCTACCTTATGTACAGATATTTGAGACCAGTAGGAGGAAACGCAGGGTGGCCCCTATGTATCCTTGTAGAACTCTTTTTGCTAGACGACAATTTCAGTCTCACTCCGCCTATCTTTATAATAAGCTACATGAAAAATTTGCAATATATCACCTCAAATTGAATGACTGTAAAAAGGTTCTAAACTTGCGCCTTGAGAAGCTTGGGTACCTGGATACAGAAAATTTGCTGTTTAAAAACAATAATTAATTAATTAAAATACATGACTTCCAGTGGTATTCATTACTTACTGATCCCAAGATCTCGCATCGTAGGGCTGGATAGCATAAAACATATGTATCGCATATATACGCATTTACAGCATAAACGTACAAAAATTTGAAAAAGCTCCGGACGTTTGTAATAGCACACATACACACACACGCATACGCGCGCACACACACACACACACACACACACACACACACACACACACACACACACACACATACACTTACAGATCTAGTGGTTATCCGATCCCAAGATATATGATATCGTAGGGCTAGATTGGTATAGATTGAGAGATTTTCTAGACACTGCATTGTTTTATATAACTTCTCACTTTTAGTATTTTCTAATATACCTTTATAAAATAGTTTAATAGTCTAGCAACCTAAGCAAACCTTATTTTGTTATTAAGTTCCTAAGGAGGAGCAGAACCACCCGACACAAGCGCTTTTTAGGCACTTCCTGGGTGATTCTGGCCACATTACTGTTATATGTATGCAATTTAAGGAAATAAACTATTTATTATTATTTATTTATTATTATTATTTGGGATATGAAGTTTGCATTTTTTCTAAAGAGGAAACTTTTCGCTTCAATTGAATTGGCGTTAATGTAATATCGCATTGTTTTAGAATTTCGATCGTAGATATATACTGGGAATTTAATTAAGGGAATAGATGCCCTGTCACAAGAATATGCAACGAAATAAATGGAAACGAAATTCAGAGTGTCAATAAATTTCTTCAGTGATTTGAATTCGCTTCGAATTGAATTTTTCTTTCATTGGGGTTTTATTGTTAATGTCATAGTCGTATTTATTTATCTGAAGTTTGCAAACATCAGTTTTGAGTTATTTAACTAGAAAACGTTTCTCTTTATACTCTTATAAAAATAAGACTGGTTAAATTAATAAGCGTTTTTTGAGTTAACAGTTAAAGCAATGCATATTTTAGTTAAATCTATTTAAATCATATTATAATCAATCTGTTACAAAAAAATATTAATATCCAAAAACTATACCGTCGGTAGGTTGGAAAATCTACCGCGGGAAATAAGTAGCAAAACTGGGCTAACCTTTCAAACTTTTTACGCTCGCTTCGCTCGCTCGACTCTATTTATTGTTATTATAAGCATTTGATCAGTTTCGAATTTAAGAACAAAACTATTTGACTATTAAAATTAAAGATTTTTCACATTGTTTCAATAACAGTAAAGGTGAACACAAAAAATATAATATTTTATAAATTCAGAGTTCTAAATTAAGTTTTATGAAATCTAAAAACAAAAAGCAAAGTATTATTTTTATTTATTTATGTTCATGTTATTTATATACACGCACCAATCACCACTGGGTCCTCGTAACGGGATATAGCCCGTATTCTTTATTAAAGTCTCCATAGGGAAGGTCTGAACTCCTGAACGCTTTAATAAGCTTATGATGTTTAACGTAATTCTTATAATTATTCATACAAAATTTGATATGGTTTTAAAATAGAAGTAAAGATACAAATCTATGAACCATTCTAATTATATTACTTTCCACGATACTTTTCAGTTATAGTTGCATAAGTATTCATCTTTACATTTAATACAATTTGCATACTACATAGAAAGAAGCCTTACCCGTGATCGTCTCTGAATGGGATCATCGCCTGGTATCGTGAGGAAATTTCCGCTCATTTTCACAATTAAAAATCACAAACACAAGCGTACTTTAAGATCAGTGTTCGTTATAAATAGCACGCGAGCGCAGCTCTCTGGCGTGCGTACGCGACGATGGTCAATGTCAGAATGATGTTTAATTTCATGAATGGGTGACGTTTTTAAATAAATGCCCCACCACTGACCGGGGCGCGACGCAAAAAACGTAAGCGTGCATGTGTCGGCGTGTCTACGTTCCAGTATGACTGTTACCTAAATAGTTAGCTCTGAAGCGATCAAGAAAACAAATTTGCATGAATCTACCATGTAGTTTTATAGTGTAGTATAGGTATGTGGTAGTGGTGCTATTGTTAATACGTTTGGGCTGCAACGTCGATGTTAAGCATCTTTAGCTAAGGCTGGTCAAAGGATAGGTGACCAATTTTTATCAAGCCACTCTGTGCTTTAGATCAATCAAACGGCTACATCAGCAGTCATTAACTACTACCAATTTTTCATCCGCGTGCGGAACTAATGTAGAACTGCCGGTTTCAAGGTGTCGCCATCTTAGTGCTAGATCCCAGAACTGGTTAATGTAGAAAATTAACTTTTCTTTATTACTTCGGGTCTGGGTGATATCTCAAATAATACGAGGCTACTCGTCTCAGAATTTAAGTAATGTAAATGAGTGATGTTATTTAATAATACGAGAATTCTAAAAAAGTTATCTTAATTTGATTCCACCGGGATGGTTTGTGTCACATGAGTGACATTAATAGCCTGATGATGACTGAGTAGTAAGTAATGAATATCTCAATGGTTGCGTCTGATACATTCCTCGTTGTTCATATGAAAAGATTTGTAACATTTTCGTAATCTATGATATTAGAAACAGCTGGATCGTTGGAAAAACATGAAACATTTTAGCGCGAAGTACGAATACGAGTTATTATCGAACGTCAACGGAACCTCGGGCGTAACAGATTCCTTGTGGATTCCGAGCGTTATTACGATGGAATTTGATTATTCACTCGGTATAATTATAGAACGAAGAAGAAACTAAACGTCGTTAGTCTCTTTGTTCCCAAAAATGTTGTTATTTTCGAGTTTGTTAACGGGAATGTGTGGCTGATTGCTTTGTGGATTTGGGTTTGATATATAAATACAGTATATGACCGTGTGCTCATATACTTTATTTTTATTTATTACTTTTTGAAAGAAACACGGTATTCAGTTTTTATATCTCATATATTTTGTATTAATAGTGCTGTATTAATATTTATCTTAAAGATGTTTGGAGGGAATATTCTCCTTAATACGTAGAGGTGTATTAAAATCGGATTTTTGTAAATCCATCCCGAATGGGGTCAAAAAGGGTGAAAAAGTTTGTATGAAACTTCTTTGTTTATGGACCTATGTCTGTGTCTTATTTACGTCACCCACTATAAAAAATGGAAAACTTGAAATATCGTGTTATTTACGAGTACGAGTTCCACCGTGGTACCAGTGCTGCGGAAACGGCTCGAAGGGTTAATGATGTGTATGGCGGTTATGTCGCAAAAGAAAACACAGTGCGTTTTGGTTCCAACGTTTTCGTTCTGGAAATTTCGACCTGCAGAACAAGCCCCGTGTACGGCCAGAGATCCAAGTTAATAATGAAGAATTGAAGGCTATTGTGGAAGCGGATCCATCGCAAACCACGTCCGAGTTAGCTCCAGGCTGCGGTGTTAGTAATGTAATAAATCGTTTATTGCAAAAAAAATATGTTGCACTGTAAATAGAAATATTTTTTTATCATCAGCCATTTTAACTCTCTACTGCAAGGGCTCAATCCTTCGTTATAGATGGTCGTAACGAGGATGGGCCATGACCTTCCACGCTCGCCTAATACAGATTGGAGGGTATTAACGACTGCAAACGCTTCCAGGCTTTATGTGTTTTCCGAAGTAAGGAGAAGCTCGAGATAATAATTTTTTGGTCACCCATCCCGTGACTGACCTTTGCGAAAATTGCTCAACTACAACGACCGCGGGCCGCAGCGCATATCCACTACGCGACTCAGTTACTCAGAAAATGAAATATTGGTTAATAGAATTAGTATATATTGGAGGAGCGAAATAAAAAGCGCCTATTCGTTATAAGTTGTATTGCGAGACAAAGGAGTTGAGGCGGTAGCGAACATACCCGACATTCGGGATTCTTATTAATCTACCTACATAACAAGAATCTTTTTTAGTAGAATCTGAATCATGCTAACGTTTCATTGTATAACTACAGAGACAATTTTTATATTCATTAAGTTTTAGTTATGCCTAATTTATACTTCTCGTTGCAATTTTTGTAAAACGGCGTACATGGTTTCACAAATTGACGGAGCCACTGTTGATTAAAGTGTGTCACTTTTGTTACAGTTAGATTTGCGTGCACTGCTGACTGTTGTTATTTAGGGTATTTACGTAAATAAATGCTTGCAGTGGCGCGCGCTTGAACATTTTTAAATGATTTCCTTATGGAGAAGCACAGTGACAGACAGACCAAGTTGTAAAATAATCACCAGTGGGCACATGCCCTTATTTTTTTATTTTTTTACAATTTTGTAAAACTTGCAGTTGATGGAGATATATAAATACTCATTAAACTCAATAACGCCAATTAGGTACTAGTTTTCATAAATAAACAAAATAATAAAATAGACGATTAACAAGTGGTTGCTGAACTAAGAATTTAAAATTAGCCTACGTCATAGTAGGTTTATGCATGCAAAGTCTCAGCCCGATCGGTTTAAAATTGACAAAGTTTCATATAAACTTTCATCCCCTATTTTATCACGTCATAACATCTACCTGCATGTTAAATTTCAGCCCGATCCGTCCTGTGGTTTGGGCTGTGCGTTGATAGATCACTATGTCAGTCAGTCGCCTTTGAGTTATATATATTTAGTGTTTTTGATACTTGGTTTGCTATTTATTTTGTTTCTTACAAATCAATTAGCACACTTTGAAAGCGAATGGCTGCTCTTATTCGCACCTTACACTGTGTGCTCATTAGCATGGAAAAATAGACAATCTTACGATTATCTCGCGTGTTTAACTAGCATGCTCATGTATTACCACGTGGCGTGTGTGTGTGTGCCTTTAAGTTCACAACGGCTTGTTTAGTAGTATTAGATTTCTTGACCTTATTCACATGTTTATAAACAATCTTTAAAACAATAATAAAACGAAACAAATATATTTGAAATACGGATATTTATTTATTTTTTCATAAAAATTCTAAATTCAATAATGTGTTAAACATTTAACATTTACATATATGCATTTATACAAAGATATATGCAATGTTTAGTGATTTTTTTTTTATTATTTAATACTAAAGTTGGAGCGTTAACAGACGCACAACGACTTGATGTAGATATACGAATGACAATCACATTTCACACTTACAAAATAATATTTACCACTCGTACGAATTAACACGACACCTGAAAGCCTTTCTGTTTTTCAGAAAACTAAATTTCGTTTATTTTCGACATGCTGATACGACTGTACAAACGCCTTTTTCGATAATTGATGTTAGAACGGCGCAGGACGTGACACTGGATTCACAGATAATATTTAGGGATATATTTTTTTTAACTTTAAGAACTATTCGAAATATAACGTATATTATATTTCGAATAGTTCTTAAAGTTAAAAAAAATATATCCCAAATAGAATAGGCCCTCAGGTGTTATAATAATTCGTTCGAGTTATACCAAGTATTGTCAAATGGTAAAGAATACGTTAGTATTTTTTTTTTTATAATTTGATGAGATGATGTTGAATGTGCGCTTATTTTTTTAGACTACACGAATCGCAATATCGTCATCGTAAACGGTAATTTAAAAAAAATATATAATCCGACTAAAGTGTACACATAATTTCAAAAATAACGCAACACCAAAATTAATACTGAGTTTTATTGTTAGTTTATGCAGATATCACACGATCCCATCAAAATTGTAAACCTCTTTCACAATACGATGGAAGTACGATTTGTAAGTATTTACAAATGGATGATCGACAATATATACGCTTTTTTGTGAAAAATAAAATCAAACAAAATTTACAACTGCTTTTAAAACACTCCATTCAATGCATTAATGTTAATTATTATCATTATTTTGTCTGTTTAAATATTTAAATGGACAAAGTATGTAATATATCTAATTCAATATTTTTTATGGCATAAAAGCGGCGTTACAAGGTTTTACGTTAATACATTGAATAAAATACTACAAAAATCCATATTTGTTAATGAATTTTGCTATTATATTAGAAGTTAAATTGATTCAGTCGACTCGGAGAATTAAAAAAAAATTTAGTAAAGATGAGTAAATATATAATTATAATTATTATTGAGATTTGGACTAGACAAACCACATTATCTATCTACAGATATGTTATCCATGATAAATGCTAATATATAGAAAATCTAACTCCTGTGTCTGTTAGTGATGTGCGTCACTACACAATGTATAATATTTTCATAACCACATTGACTTTATAAAAAAAAAACTGCACACTTCGTTTTGCAATTGAGATTAAGGTCGAGGATTTGTTCTTTTTGTCTGTTAAGAGATGGCGCTAACGATGTGATTTTTCATCAACAAAAATACCCATTCTCGTTTATTATGACCTGTTTTGTACTTATTGTGCAAATTAATTAATTTACCACAATAAATCTTGTTCATTTTGTTGTTATTTCTTTATTTATCTGATTCAAAAAGTTGTTCGACAAAATCGAATCACAGAAATACTTTTGGAATCATAACATAATCAATCATATAATAGTTATTTGTTTTTGAAAAAAAAAACATTCTTATAACTCTTTTTACTATTTTAATGTTGCATTACGACCAAGTCTAAGTGGGGATGAAAATATATACAGTAATTTTATTTATGTGATGTTTCAAACTGTGTTCCGATTTTGAATGTGAATATATTAAAATTAACATTTTTATATAACAATATAATATTGATATCAACGTTCTTTATTGTTTATATTTTACGTCATAGCCTTAAACAATAATTTTTGAGCACTGGTCGATAAAGTACAGCCTCAATAGTAAATCAATAAAATATAAACACCATATGAATTCAAATGTATATAATCGAAAGTAAATGTACAAGATAAAATATTACTTTAATTTTTTTTTTCATAACAATATATTGAATTTTCCACATAAAAAATAAAACTTCTATTAAGTCTGATATTACAACAGTCGAGTAACATTAGCCGATCAAAGTATTTCACCAGCTAAAACAGATTTACAGAAATAAGCACGACAATTTAATGAAGTAGTATTTCATTTATAACAATATCACAATTTTCAATAATATACAGTAAGACATAGGAGATATTCATTTTTTTATTTTGATTACACTTTAAACAGGCCAAGCATATTTAAAAGTAAGATTAAAGATCTTGATTATACCATTATTTTAACAACAATTTAGTTGGTATATATACAAATCGGTAAAATACTGCAATTGTATATGTGATTGTACCACAAATATATCGTCGTATACACGACAACGACGTATTTATTACAATGTGGATCACTAAAATGGGACAGAAAACGAGTTCTTTTAAAGATGTATAAAATATGACAAGACCTTACAATTTTTTTTTTTAATTAGAAATCATAGCTATAACTATTTATGATTAATTCCATTTTAGAACACTCACCTTCTAAACGATCATGCTTTATGTACTTCGAACTTTTATACTATACATCACGCAGTTAACAAAACAAGAGAGAGACACGTTTATCCGCAGTTATAACACACATTATACCCTTAACAATTTTTAGGTACACTTTCTGACTAATTTGACAAGAAGCAAAAAATACAAATGAACATATATATATATATTCAATATGAAATAATTTACATAAGGCCATATATTATTAACTGTACACGCGAACGATTAGATGATTAATAAGATAAATAATGTTGCATTATCATAAAGGATTAAGGATTAATGCATCCGTATTTACGACAGTTTGGTCCATATAAATATTATTACATAAATCGTGTTTCCGATCTTTAAGTATTCAGCGTATTACAATATTGCAGTTATGTATTTTACATTATTTTCGACACCGATTATAACTATGAATAGTAAAACCTCTTCGTTTCGTCGTCTCGTACGTTAGGAATGAAATCGTATACAAACAGTTTATTAAAAACATGTATACTAAATTTTTGCACGTAAGTGTAACAGGTGTCCGTCCATCGTACGTAATAGTTGGACATTTTTACGTTAACAAATAAATCAGCCTTTTTTTTTTTACTTTAAATATACTTTTGTTTTAAATCGACATCTTTTGAAATTATCACCAAAAATCAACATCGATACTCAATATGTGCTGAATACATAAAAATGGTGGACGCGCGGCGCCCGCCGCCGCCTACGGTCAGTCTTTTTCTGATAACGGTTACGAAATTTGTGCAAAATATTCTACTATCCGCGTAACTTAACAAGTTAAAAAATTGTTTATTTACAAAAAGAAAAACTCGTAACACGAACGAGTACTAATACACATACGGAACGAAACTAAACCGAACGAGCACACTGACCGGGTACCGCGAGCGCCGGAGTCGTCTTTTCAAATCCGACGCGAGCTCTCCCTCCGACGCGGGGAGAGATGTATAGAGGACATCGCCCGTCTTGCTCGCACTCAAGAGCAAGTAGACCGCTCTATGGTTGGAGCATCACAACCGGTGGTTCAGTCCAGCCGCGCAGGAGTTTTTGGCGGAAACCTGTAAAATCCGCGTAGTAAATTATTGTGTATTGTGTCAACAAGAATTGGGTTATATTAGTTCAATGCGGAAACGCGAACGGGTCACCAGTAGACTAGACTGATGCACTAAGAACTTTTCCTAAAATAAAATTACAATCACTACCAGCCAGCTCAGTCGCGGCTCGGTGGCTTCAGTAGCTCGTCGTGTCTCTCGCGGTGTTCGGTTCCGTTCACGAGGGTCCCTGGCCGCCGGCGGGCGCCTCCGCCCTCATCTCGGACTTGAGCTTGACGAACTCCCGGGCCACCTCGTCGCTGTGCCTCTGCGACAATATCCGGAGTATCGTCCACCCAGTCTCATCCATTTTCACACGCGTGCCAAGCGGCAACCAACACGCGCACGAACCCTGTAAAATGTAACAGTTTGTTATTACTATGATCGAAATTAGGAAATAGGCAAGCATATCTGTACTACAACAACACCTATGTATAGATATGCTTGCCTTCATTCACACAGTATACGTATATAATCTGGAATAGCTATGTAAAGAAAACCGAGTGCTAGAAGGAACTGTCTTGTGTGTCGGTCACGGTGCAGCATTTCGAATTGTCAATAGTTAAAGCGATTACAATCAAACCATTGAAACCAGTTCATAGAAATTTATTCTCAAGAATTTAGTAGTTATGTAGGAATTATGATCTCGATGTGGAGATTAATTAACTTTACCAAGTAGGTAACATAAATAACGCACATCCTGAAAGTAGTTTGTTTAAAATCTGATTCGATACTGATTCGATTTCAACAACTTCTAATATAGGTGTATTTTTTTTTTTTGCTATATTAAATTGGAATTTAGTAAATAATGGTCACCTGTAACCATTACAGCCTAAACATTTAAAAATTCTTTATAATTTTAACTTGCAATAAAATACAACATTCTTTTAATGTGCCTTGAGTTTAAAATGATGCAAAAGTTCATAAGCCAAAGAGAAAAATATAATTCATAAACAAAGAGAAAAATATTATGCCGATCTCATAACAAGCAAGGATCATAATTATTGTGAAAACTTAAAAAAAAACAAAAGTAAAATTCCAATTTTCGTTTTATGTTTATAAATGCACTTTTTAATTGGGATGTATAAGGATGTGCGTTATTTTGTTACACATGTTATAAATTATAGGTTCAAATATAGATTTTCATCTGCATTGATCCTTCACTCCATGGAGACTTCAACAAATATTATATTACATTATAAGTGCGCAATTTCGACGGTGTAATTTTTTTGAGCATATATAATATCTTCACAAAGTGTATGAATATCTAATACAGTACCTGTTCCGCTATGTCAGCGAGTCGCATAACAGCAACGCCCACTAGTCGGTCTTCTCTCGCGAAACAATAATCCCGCACGCACACATGCAGCTCAAACAGTTCCAGCTGTTCCGTCGCACTCACCATACTGAAAACATTACATTCAGATTCAATATTTCAATTCACCTGTCGGCACTGTTATAATTAAGTTTTTATTGGCCGTTTCGAAAAATCTGTACCAAATTAATAGTGTACACCTTTCCGATTTAAGCCTTAATGTATTAATACAACATTAAAATTATTATATTTGTTAAATTTTTCATTCACAATGCTATACAATATAATTCATATAATGAAATTTGTTTTGTTGACTTTATTTAGATCTCACCACCAATTTCAATTCCAGAGGTGACTTTATATTTGTGCTATATTCAAACACCGGATTCATTTCATTACTTATGAAACAATAATGAAAAATAAATTATTATAATAATTAAAACAATTATTATATCACACTATAACTATTTTCTGCGAATAAATCCTGATGTACCGTTTAAAACAGTTAGCTTCATCACAACAGCAGGAGATCTATCCAAATTATCAATGAAAATCCTTGTAAGAAGCATTCAAGAATCAAGCATGTATTTATTGATGTCTAGTATACTTTTTATTACTTACAAATGGAATGTCTCGTTGAACTTTGGACTCCAATTGTTGCTTTTCGACTTAGTTGCAAACTTTCTCTTCTTATCGGCCAAGTGTGGACCAATGAGGTTCACTTCAATGAATGGACGGAACATGCCGCTAGCTATAACCCATTTCAAATCGTTGGCTGCCACCACTGAAGGAAAAAAATATTATACTTAAAACGCTGAGCCAATTTGTTTTATATGATAGCAGAATTTTTTTCTTACAAAGTTGTTTGTTCATAGTTCTAACAAGAAATATCTCTCAATGTTAGCTCACTACAGCAGCGTGAATTTCCAACCATGAAAGTCGAATGAAATAATCAGTTGATGTTTATTCGGATTCATGACATTATTCAGTCAGCAATAAAGTTTAAAATCAAGTAGATGAATCTAACGGTGATTGATTCTAATAGTCTATCAGAGTAGCCAGATTTATATGCAATACATTAGCTTTCGGAAAACAATTACATGTCTGTCAATACTCTCATGTGTCAATGACATAAAAACGGACGAATGGATATTGCGCGGAATAAGAAGCTACAAAATTAAATTAAATTAATTATTCACAAACATTATCACTATTGCAAATCAATCGTGTCGGCTATTGGCAACAAAACGATACGCATATTCATCAATGTTCATTATGAAATATATTACTAATTGACCCAGAAAACGTTCTTTTGTCCTATATTTCTAAATTTATAAAATTTGAGATGGACCACATTAAACATAGATAATAACCTATTCTCAGACTTACTGAATGTTCATATAAATTTCATCAAAATAAATACAACATAAATTGTAACACAAGAATTTTATACATAACACTGACTTCTTGAGATACATAACTTGCAATTTATTTTTGTGGCTGAATTTCATTTGGACCTTTTAACGAGCGTATTACTTCTGTTCACAGATATCCTTTTCAAAAACAAGATAACTACAGAAAACAATAATCATACTCAACTTATAAATTCCACCCCTCCCCAAAGTGTTATTCCTAAATTCGTCCGATCTATCTTAGGTATTCCAAAATGTAATCCAGTACAGTATATTAGCCATGTCATTTTAAAGAGTTATTGATCCTGGTTTTAGAGTTATACTGTTACAGGTATAGCCAATAAAGGCACTGTTTGTCTTACCTTTAACTGTGATTTTATGTTCACCAGTACCAGGATGAGTGAACAGGTCAACCTGCAACGACACTTCTCCCACGCTACCTTCTTCTGCAACTGCTGCATCTGTACATAGTTATTTAGTATCAGATATTCGTGAAAATATAAGCTATATACATATTCTGATTAGTAACACTGAATATCGTTATGAGCTTCAGAATAACTGACTAATAAGTAAAAATAATTGACTTCTTTGAATGCGGAATCAGCAAAGTAGTTTATAGGCTTATTTGAAAACATACAACAAAGTCGCTATAGATATATCGGTAAAATAGGATAGTGTTTAATCTAACCTTGATTTTGCTGACTCGTGACGAACGTTCTGATTAGGGTATCAGTAGTCTGTGTGTATAGACTGAGTGCATATCTTAACGACTGGAGCTCTGGACTCTTCTCCAAGAAAGTTTTCTTCAGTCCGTTGCCTCCAGCGTGGAAGTAAAGTTTGATTGTGTCCAATGCCGCATCGAGGACTGCACATTGCTTTGGTGACAAACTCTTCTCTGCTGATAGATGCTAGAAAGACATTTATGATTGCAAATTATATCCAGTTTCTTTGTTCTTTTAATACAGTGTCTTCTTTATCGAACTCAGATACAATATTTTGCCGGTTCACAGTGCATATAAGATTACTTTGAAAATTGGTAGACTTTTTTTAGATGAACAAATAAAAGTATAACTCATTACGAATGCATTGAAAATTGTTTTTTAATAAGTGAAAGTAATACTTGCTTCTTTTCTAAATAAATTTGTTTACAAAGTTTCTTCAAAAGCCTGTAAAATGTATTTTCTGTAAGGATAAAACTTACTTCTTTTGAGATATCCATGACACCAGAAAGCGCATGTTTAACATCTTGTTTGCCCACGGTGCTCTTGAATAGTTGCGTCATATCTTCGATCTTAGCATTTGCAGCCAAGTTCTTTGCGTTGTTCGTGAGGTTCTTCAACATCATCTGAATAAACATTATGTATATTATCAAAACGGCTTATTGAAATGGTTCCCTTACAATGCTTTGGTAAATTCGTATCTAAATTACCGTGATTGAAATTCTACGTAAAGTGTTAATGATTTCAATTTTTATAGTTGCCCTTTTATAATAGAAAAGATATGTTATTCATTAAGTTTTATGACTATTTTAAATGAAGGAAAAATAAGTAGCAATTGGCAGGACATATAGTTCGTAGTACATATGTTAGTTGGGGTAGTAAGGTCCTCGAATAGCCACGGTCTGGAAAAGATAGCACGAGCTCCCACAAATTGGACTGATCATCTTGTCAGGATTGCCGGAAGCCTTGGATGAGTTATGGAAAAATCCAAGTCGTTGTCGTTTTTCAGAGAGGTCCAACAATATTTCAGCTGACATGACGATAGTATCATAAGCTCCAAATATCACTTACCGTTTTATCAGTCATAGGCGGAAGCACAACAGTCTTTTCTAGAATTTTCATCACAATTTTCCACAATTCTTTGAGCAGTCGCTTTAGCACAGTCTTTTCACACGATTCGGCATACATCGTCAATGAGCCATCCTGTAAAATAGGAAATATTTTTATGTAACATGATTTTTTTTAATATTAATTTAGCTGGATTCTAAGTGTCTAGTATCTTATACAAACCTTTGTATGTAATAAATAAGTTCTTTATAGCTATATATAATATACCTATAAGGTTAATTTCACTAATATTTATATAATCAATCCTCATAATAAGTTATCAAAAAAAATTTAAATATCAGAGAGTTTGGTATAAACATAACATAGTTGCCTTTATATACGATATGCTTGATTCATCTATTTTCCGTTGTAAAGGCTGTTAACATAATTGTAAAGTTCAAAAATCACCGAGCCGACGAATAAGTAGAGAGATGACTACAAACATAAACTCAGCAAAATAATTTCAAAAAAGAAATTCCAGCTTTGCAACCTTCAAATTCAAAATAGGTGCATTTGACAATCGTTTTGCAGGGACTTGCGGCAGAGGTAGAACGTACCAAGATATCCATAAGTGGTCGCAGCACCTCGTCGGCTTCGTGGTGCGCGGGCGGCTGCGGTTGCCCGGGCGCGCCACCGCCACCCACCTTCTGCAGCAGCTCACCGAGTTCCTTCACACTCGCAGTTATACGAGACTCCAGGCTGTAGACGATACGGTAATCCATACATCAGTGCCAGGAATATAGTTATATGAATATCGTACATACGTGCATATTCATCCTAACCGACTTCTTCAACCAACCATAAAAAGAAGTAATATATTTTGTAATGAAAGGACTCATTCTAACAGCAATTTCTAAACACATGATATGCCTTAATTGACATATCATATTACAGAAAAAAACATTTTTTTTATTAAATAATAGCCAAACTTTTCTATTTTGTCAATTAACTGAACCTATTTTTTTAATAATTGGCAAACCTTAAAAGGAATTAGTGAAACACTTTTCGACATAAGACCAACAGTCATGTATTATTTTGATTCTTTAGAAAAGTAAAGATATTGCTTATACACCCATAAGCCTGCGATTTGTACGTCTTCACACTGAATCTCTTGCGAGGTATACATGAGAGAAATGAGCCCCACAAAGCACGGTATTTGCAGAAAGCCTTTCCCTTCTTTATTACTTTTTTATAAAAGACTTGGTTTATAAGCTACTACACTAATTCTACATTTCGAATTAATTGCATTATAAAAGAATATATTACCAAATCATGACAATACCTGTTAGCAAACATTGAAGCCAGTTCATCGAGGGTGCTATTCAGGCTCTGCTGTAAGTCATGCAGGATATCGGCAGCGTCACGCTCCAACTTGGTACCACCCATGGCTTCGAACATTTTTTCTAATTGCACACGCAGTTGTTGTATGTTGTTCATAAGAATGCATGCCTGCAAATAATATCCATTAGTTAATGAAGTCTCCTTTTTTAAAAAGCAAAATAGTTTTTGGTTATTCTCAATATTGGATAACATCGCACCAATCTTTATCACAACTAACTAAATCACTTATTATACAGATATTAAATATATTAACGGTACCAAAATTCAATGAGAATTTATGTTACTCTATCGTTCTAAAGGAATCATTTAAACTAATAATATTATATACTTTATTGTACACAACAGAAAACAAGTTACAGAGAATCACACTCGGATAGTTGAAAAAATTATAATTATATATTTATTTTTGCAATTAACTTACGAGTGCTCATAAGCACAGTAGAGTATAATCAACATACCACTCGCTCCTCTTTTAGATGTTCAGGAAACTCCTTCTTCACAATATCGGCGTAAGCCACCAGCACCTTGACTATCGTCTTCGCGAATCTCTTCATATACCTGATAAATTAACGGTTTTATCAGTGACTTAATTTTAGACGATTACAATAGGTAACTAAGCCGGCGTAATATAATATTCCTGTTATTCCATTGAACATGTAGTATAATCACGAATTCACAGCTACTGACAGCAAATATCACGATAAGGCTCAGTTTATATTCTTACACTAACTCCTGATTGTCAATATTATAGCAAAACTAACTCATATTTATTACACTTTACGATTCGAAAATGAAAACACTTATGACAAATTATAATACCTCTTCCAGATCTCTGGATCAGGGCACTCGAGCTTGGAGACGACGTCGAAGCACTGCGTTAGTTGCGTGAACACATCTACCACGGAGTTGCTGAACAAAGCGTGCTCGCTCGATTTTTGGAACTGAGAAAAGATTGTAAACATGTATCTTTAGCATTTATAGTCGCTGTAAATAAAATAATGGACATAAAGTTCTCGGCTGCAGCTTAAACAGTTTGTAATTATCTAATATGTATTTCATGTTGTCTATTCTGGAATTTTATGGCGTAGAGATTAAGCGACTATTGCAAGGTCCACACTCACTAGACTACTGGCTTATGACCACGTCTCCCTATTTCCATTCAAAAGGAATGCCTATTACCTGTGTGAGGACATTAATATGCTAGCATTAATATGTCCAGTTGACTATATAAACATTAAAAAAGCTTTATATATCTTTAAAAATCGTCTGAGTTCGAGTCGGACACGAAGGGTTCCATACCATTATCCATAAAAAAAGTAAAAAACAATCACTATGTCCAGTTGACTATATAAACATTAAAAAAGCTTTATATATCTTTAAAAACCGTCTGAGTTCGAGTCAACACGCACACGAAGGGTTCCATACCATTATCCATCAAAAAAGTAAAAAACAAACACTATGGAGTTGCTCGAAATTTTCGAGTTAAATACACATACAAGGTTACACAAAGACTTTAATAATTTAAATTTGCTCACCCCATCTCGTTTATCTCTATTGAAGGCTCCGTTCAGATATTCCAAAGAAACATCGTCGTTCTCGTTCAACCATTGCATCACGAAAGGTTCGAACCAAGCGGGATATTCGGGAACAGCACCACAATACGGAGGGACATCTTTAACGTAGTTCGTGTGTAACCATTTCACCTGTTGAAATGATCACAAATGTAAATCATAGAGTATTTACTGTAAATGTTAGGTCTAGCCATGAACTTTCGCAAGGTAACTCCTTATTCTACTTATATTTTTTTAAATCTAATACGTACATGTACATGAATGGTGTGCTTTCCAGATTCAAGCATACCTTGCACAGTGTGTGATCTCTAACATATGAATATAATCAATTATAATTTAGGATATTATGAGTGCTTATGATTTTATCGTATGTTTTTCAATATGATGCAGTGATCAAATGGTCATGTAGTGTAAATCAATATGTTTAGTTTTAATAGCAATCTTTGCATCGCGTTTAATAACTAATAGTGAGATGTCTTCTTCTTGTGTTTCTTTTCGTAAGAAAGGTTTCAGTCCCAACAATAGGGACATTAAACTTATAACTTATATATATAAAATACGTGATTGATTATACAGCGTTATTCATAAACACTAGCAATCTCGCAAAATAATATAGATAACATCATATATAATAATGTTTGACAGAACTCATAAAATATTTTTCCAAGTTGTTATTGTACTGTCTTGACATTTATACATCTATGTAACGCAACGATGACGCTACATTCGCGCACTATGTTAAGTGCTTAAGTATTGATACTGTGTGTAAGATTTATTAAAAATCGAGGAGTAAATGTAGTTAAATTTTATTTTATGAGTTTTCTACAAAACTATTTGAATGAAAGTTGTCATTTATCCTATCAAGTCCAAGGTTGTTGGTGTTTTTCAAATAACCCTGTATATCGTTAAGGATTACGAAAAAAAATCGTTCATACCTTAAAATGTAAGTTCATGTAAGCGGAAGACTTGCAGAGCCTATGCTGTTCATGCTCCTCTAGAGCATACTTCATGTCCACAGCAAATAACGACCACATGGTTGCAGCGGACAACTGAAATAATAGGTTATTAAAAAACTAATAGAATTCAGCTAGAAAAGAAAACTTAAGTTCACGATTTTCCCAAAAGAAGTTGTATTAAAAACGCGACTTCTAATTTTTAAGAATACATAATCACACAATAACTTGAATAGTTTAGAAACACGTCTCTCAGAACAAAATATATGTGACATACTCTGGAGATTTATTAATTTCGCAATTGGTGTAAAAAATTAACCAGAAATTAAAAAAATATACATATATTACAGAGATTATCTAATTATTATACCTGTCCAATATTCAATTCCTGAGGAAACTGGTTGAGAACGGGAGCGTAACTGTTCCTGTCCTCTTCTATCACAGATACGATAAGAGCTATGAGTTTGTGCCAAAAGTCTACGGAGTCGAGTTGCGGACCATGATCTGAGGGATCACGCTTCGCTTCGTTAGGATCCACCTGGTATAATTAAAAATAAAGCATAAGTAATAACAAATAAAATCGGAGATCAAAAAATAATGACATGTATTCTTTTCAGCGATATCTTCAGGGTTTATACAAAAATATTAAATTAGAAAAGATCACATACATTGCTCAGATTCTAAAATGAGTAGCTAAAGATCCCGTATCATAGAGTATCTGAGACAACAGGGGTACATCACGCAGATCGGAGGCAATATAGAAAAGTCCATTTTCTACATTTACCCAATCAGGGACCTCAGAGATGATGACATCATGAGAACCGGCGTACGTACCGGCTACGGAGGTGGGCACAACATTTTTTTTTAATTTTATTAACAGGTTAACAATATGTCTATTATCTGTTTATCACTACATTGGTATTTGTTCAAGTTTTTTTTTTATGGGATAGGGGGCAGACGAGCACACGGATCACCTGATGGTAAGTGATTACCGCCGCCCATGGACACCTGCAACACCAGAGAGGCTACAAGCGCGCTGCCGGCCTTAGAGGGAAGGGTTGAGGGATAGAGGGAAGGGAATAGGGAGGGGTTGGGCCTCCGGTACCCTCACTCACACGACGAAACACAACGCAAGCGTTGCTTCACGTCGGTTTTCTGTGAGGCCGTGGTATCACTCTGGTCGAGCCGGCCCATTCATTAAGAAATTAATTCAATTATTAATTCAATATAAGAATTCAATAAGAAAAAAAAGTAAAATACGTGCTGTAATATTTAAATTGCTTCATAATATACTTAAATAGACCTTATATTTGTAATTTTGCAAATTATCCTTAGTTTACTTTAGTATCTTAGTTAATGGTAATCGATCACAAATGCAATAGAGATAATGAGTAATTTTTCTTCATTAATTCGTTAGGTAGACTATTGAACAATATTAAACTCATGTTGTTTTTCAGTAAAACAATAAATTATGGCGATACATTGAATTGAAATGTCGCATGATGTCACATTTCTTTACATTTAAATGCTTATTACCTAAGCCAATTATATTTAAATATGAAGAAAAAAAAGGAATCTAAAAATTGACTTTTATGTGACTGATGAACCAAAACTAAAAGTCGTTATCCCTATTGAGTTCAAATATACTTTAGAATTGTTTAATTGTAGTAAGTTTAGTTATTCGTATGTTTGCATTTTGATATATATCTATAATGAAATAAAGCTGCAATTGATACCGACCTGAAATTCTCTGTTGAACAACTCGTAACAATTTTCAAAAAGAAACTGATATGTGGACCTAAGGCAAGCTTTAACACAGTCTTTGACTACTGTGCTGGCTCTAGGTGGACTACTTAACTCTTGGACCTGTAATAAACAATGAATATAACTATAATAATATTATATAGGGAATATAATATAAACGTTACTATAGTAATCATTGTATACTATCCAGCTTGTCATTGTTATTATATGCGTGTCAAAATATGAATCCACAGAACACTGTGTTCTGTCATATGAATCGATATACAAATAAGATAATTAAGTTGAAAAAATGGATTGTCAATAAGAAACATGCTTAAAAAATCAAATATAATAAAATTGTATTTATTAATAATCAATGGATTTACATTAATACTAAATTCGATTTTTGTAATTATGTCGATATTTCTCTAGAAATCAATACATACCTTCATCCTAAAGAACGTAATACTAGTGAGCAAATCAACAGTGGACTTGAGATCCATTAGCTTTTCGGCACTAGAAGCGGGAAAATTGTTTCTGTACATTGACAAGTCAATCCGTAAAGAGTTGTGCAGTTGATCCAAGAGCTTGACGAATTTTTCTTTCTGCGAAAGAAGAAATAAGCTAAAAAAATCGTCAAATTATAGCGTTCTTTTTATCATCCTGCCCATCAATTGAAGATACAGAAGCTTTGCTGAGAGGGGGTCCCATCTTGGCCTTGCTTTTTTACAATTTTCTTGTGTGCATGTTTATTATAATTATTTAATATGTGGCAAATATTTTTTTTTTCTTTAAAACCGAAGAATTACTGAAACTTGACAAGCAGTCAGTAAGTGACCAATTTACATTTATACCGATACTAATATTACAAAGAGGAAAGCTTTGAATTTTTTGTTTAATTTGAATAGGCTTCATACTATTAATCCATTTTTCTATATTCTTTCCCCCACGAAAGCACGTCATACGCGGACGAAGTCGAAACAAAAGCTAGTAGGTACAATATAAAGAAATTCAGTCAAAAAATAATTCATTATATTAATGATGCGTTACCATAATGGCACAACTATTAAGTATTGTATTTTTTTGCAATAAAATTTATTTGCAATACCTATATAGTAGCAAAATTTTCTTGGTAGATATTTTTTTCAATAATAACTAGGTTTGCAGTCTTGTTATTACATTTTACTGGGTATACAGACATGCCATTTACATGATTCTCGAATATTGGCGAATCGATAAGCTGTTTTCTCTCATCTATTGAGGCAATAATAAATTTTATATCAGCATTTGGCACTGCCGCCTTGTCTTGGTTTGGAAAGCTACATACAGTGTTGAATATTTATAGGCAATAATTTTTTATTAACATTTTCTCTGCTTTTATTTCATCCCAATCCATTATGTAATTGAGAATTCTAGTCCCAGGATTCTGTATAAATCATAACTCGTACATTCATAATATATATTCTCTTCTCGTAGGGCATAGAAGCGGTAACACAAATTTAGACATAAAAAGACTTAATAGCCTTCAGTAAAAACAATACAAAAATGTGTTTACCTTTTGCGAATATTACTATATAAAGTTCGTGCTCTCTACTTCTAATTTTCTGGCATTATGATCTCTTTCTTTTAAATCTTACATATGTTGCCTGGAAGAAATCGCTGTTAAGCGATAAGGCCGCCTATTGTGCAAATGTTTTAATGTTTGTAAGTTTCTCTTTATTTATTTCTGTTGTGTGTTGTACAATAAAGTGTTTTTATCTTATAAATATTATGACGTAAAGACGTATTTGTACATCAAATGAACATCATTAGTATAATTTGATGTACATTTAGTAATAATATTGTTAATTCTAGAATAGTGTTATTTTAAATGAAATCCTGTTGCACTTACACCAAAATTTGAAGCAGCAAACCGGTCTGAGGCTGACACAGCTGATGAGGCAGTAGTGTGTGCGTAGTACGCATTGATGTTCGCTAGAAGAGTCGACATCACAGCCGGTACCCCCGCGCATAAATATTTCGTTGACAAACAGTGGAAATGTCTGAAACATATGAATAATTAATAAAGAAGAAGTTTCTCAAGTGGAATAGGTAAAGACATATGACATTTTTGTATTGTGAATGTGGAATATTGCTTTGAAGGTAGCTACAATACTCTAAATTAAAAAAGACAATTAACATCTTAGTTTTAAGTGAACACTGAACCTCTAAAGTAAATATTTCTTTTTCATACATATTATTTACATGTAATTTCAATAAAATTTTACTTAGTGTCAGTTTTCGCGGATGATTTCGCTGTTATATTAAGCTATACACTCAACGATACTAAAATGGTATACTTTATGTATAATATTATGGACACCCATGAAATATCGTCAAAAGGTATAATTATAAAGTTGTTTTTATAATTACGATTGATTTGCATCTTGGGTGAGTGATTTTAATTTTTTAAATCATTTCATTTATGTCTTTCATGGCTTTAACTTATTACTTTTACAGCTTTAGTGTCTGTGATTTATGAATACTGGGGTGTGTTATACTCTAATTCTTTTATTATATAATTAAAATACAACACTGACTATATGCCAGTGTTGCCAACTTAGCACTTTCTATACTAGATCTGGCACTATTTTCATAACTAAAATTTTACCTTTATCATCTAGCATCAAATCTAGTGCTAAGATCAAAAAAAACGAAATGCGAGGATGATAAGAAAGACGAACGACGTCTCTACATAAAAAAAAAAACTACAAATCTGAATATTTCAATTTTTCAGATCCCCAAATATCTGTCCTAAAATTTTATTGCATAATTGAAAAATATGATTTGCACTATTTTTCAGATATCCCTAGCAATCTAGCACTGTATGAGAGGTCATCTAAATTTACATATTTGGATATACCTTACATATTGAGATAGCAACACTGAATATAAGCCTAAATCTTCAGTTATAGTTCGTAAATGAACTGAACAATTTCACATGTAGAATGGAAGGTCGCGTATGTACTTCACAAAATATCCCAACAAAATCTTATTATAATTTAGCCATAATACTTTGTACGAAGAATTAAATTGGAGCCAATTTTCTTATTAATCTCTAAGAAAACTCGTGCTGAACTTCTTGACTTAAAATCGATTAAGTTATCCCAGAGCTTTGGTTAGGAAGCGGAATTTTTTTAAAGCACTCATATACCCGGGGATGTTGATCATACAGTTTTATGTTTTGTAAAAAAAGCTTATTTATTATACAAATATTAAACTCTTTTATATTTGCGTAGTCAATAAGTAACGGCTATACGTTGAGTTGAAAGTCACATGACATTTCACATCTTGTCGATCTTCTGCATTGTTAAGCAAATTTTAATGGCTCTTATCGAAGTCATTTCTTACTAATGTGGCACAATAAAATACTTATCAAGTATTTTTTTATTATCTGAGTAACTAATGGATCTTTATTTCTTTTGTGTAACATCAAACACTGAAAGTTGTTTGTTAAATCTTGAGAACTCACGTCATAGCTTGGTAGATTGCCTCGATGCCATATCTCATGGCGAACTCGTCAACAATTTCCTCTGGGTTCTCGTTGAAATAAACCTTCCAGGCGTCATCACCTCTTGCTGCCGGTAACGTCACTGCACCGCCGTTTTCCTCACACAGATAGTGGAATAGATTCTCATGAAGGCACGTGTACTGTAAAGAAAAAATAAAGACTTATTAATCAATTCTTGCAGTATCTGACGAATGAAGTGATTAGTGAACGGCGGAACTTATTTTTGAACCATTCATGTGTCGAGTGAACCAGTGTCGAGGATACGTTTATATAAATAAAATAAACCTCAATAGTTACTAGTTTGTACCAGTGGCCTGCATAAAAGCGTATGTATGAATATGACAACGATGTCAACAGAACTGTAGCCGCGCGACTGTCATGTGCATGGATATTTCCAGCCGTGCAAAATAAGCACTAAAGTATCGCGACTAAAAGCCTATTGTAGAAGTGGTCTAAAAACAAAACAGACAAAATAATTTATAACATCTAAGATAGTTTTTCCATGAGACTAAATATAGATAATTTCCATATGGAGTCGATGACGTCAAATTAAAAATTAAGAATTTGTGAAAACTAGAACATGTAACTTTTATTGCAACTACGAGAAAACAGATATATATAGTTCAGAGAACAACACAACATGGTTTGCTAAAAAAACCTGACTCTTATAGAATCGCTTGATTTTCTGTCCGTCCATCAATTTTTTTTCTAAGGGAATGGTTTTTGAAATTGAATATTTATGCGCAGCATTCTACAAGCAAGTCAGACTCGCTCTCAGCAGTTTTTTTTTGTATGACTGTTTTAGATTTTTTCTAATGATTATACACCAATAAAATCGAGCTTTGCGCTTCCTATAATTGTTATAAATAGGGTCAGCATCGTATCAGAGCCTGACCTTCACCATTGTCTAAGAAATGTATTATTTACTCTATCAACTTTTCATACTGTCGTCAATTCAAAAATTCTAGATCAGGTTGATCTGGGACAATACAAAGTTCTGTAATATTATTTCAACATTCGATTGTTCTAGATGCATTTTTTTTTCAAATTTCTTTCATAACACAAAGCTGCACGTTTTGTAGATAATGTGATATTTTCGATGATTCATTTACTAATGGTTTTCACCAACAAAAACACGATTTTCCTTTATTTTATGATTTTTCGTAATCCGAATAAAAAAGTAACACTTCTCCCTTTAAAATGTCAGAATAATTTATCATGTTATGTTCTTATAACAAATAAAAACAAAAAAAAAAATATTAATGCTAGGCTCAATTGACAGCACCGTTGATAAAACTGGTCCACTCCATCAAATCCATTTACAAATATTTACAAGTAGAAATACCGACTCTGTATTTTCACCAAAAATATAAGTTAATACCGTATCGAGAAATAAATGATTCGAGAACAAAGAGGTGTGCTTATTTCCAAGTAATTGAATACAGACAACTGTCAATTATTAATCAATGTCAGCATTTCTGCTCTCCCGGGTCGTGGAATTCATTCGTTTGCGATCCAATTTATTTTTGGTTCACGTACGTGAACGTATCGTCAACAAATCGTTTCAATTTGTTTGATAATGATATAAAATTTTTATATAAATATTGAACTGTGAATGTTTATTTTTAATTGATTTTATCGCATCTGGGTAAAGAGGAATTTGTGCTCAAATAATTCTATAGCGAAATGACGTCACGTAAATATTGCTGCTTATAAAGTCATATTTTATCCTATTAATATTATAAATGTGAAAGTTTCTTTGTTTGGATGTTTAGATGTTTGGATGTTTGACGGTCAATCACGCCGAAACTACTGAACGGATTTTGATGAAATTTGGTACACAAATAGGGTATTAGCTGACTTAGATAATAGGATTCTTTTTATGACACTAAACATTACCCTAGGGTCCACGCGGGCTAGTAATTTTATATAAACACCCAAAGATACTACAGTTTATCCCAATATCATTGGAAACACCCATCAAAATTGTCTAGTTTTCCTATTTTTTTATTGATCATAGATTTTTTTTAAAATCTCTACGCTATACTGCCAATTTATTCATATCATTGTCTAAATTAGCCTAGGCAAATTTGATTTTGAAGATAAACTTTGTCATTATTATTATATTTCATCAATTTCGCATTCACAATGCTATACTGAAAAATCTTGATGAAAAATGCTTAAATGTCCTGTTCTGGGTAGCTCAGTAGTTAGAGCAGTCACCCGGATTCCGAAAGGTCATGGGTTCGAGTCCCATCTCAGGGTGCCAGGGGCCAAATGGAATTTTTAAGCATTTTTCTTTAAAAATGTTTGTCATTTATTTATTTAATATATCAACATAGAAACATGAGAATTCAGTAGAGTGCAAAAATTTAATAGATACGTAACTAGATTATATTGATTATATAAGTGAAAGCGTATTTTTTTTTTAAAGTGGATCACAGCTTTTCTAATACTTGTATTATGCGGTGACCCCTTTACGATAGAATTAAAAAGTATTAAAAAACTTAAAATAAAACCTGTATAGTAATTAATATAATTATAAGTGTATATGTTATGTGATAGAGGTTAATAGTAGCATGTGAGTTGTTATAAAAATGCAGGCTTATTTTTGATATAAGAAAAATAAACCGAATAGGTATAAAGAAAGGTTTGTTTCATATCATAATTTTATAGAACCAGCGTATTTTTCCATTCGAGAAGATATTTATTGTTGATGAGATGTCTTTTCAGGATTTCAGTACTGCATAAAATTAGAACATAAGGTTCACACGCCGCAGTATAGATTTGTTTTTTATTATAAGTTATGAAATCGGGTCTCGGAATCCTATTTCCTTTGAGGTTTGTGGAGGTTAGAAAAAGATTGTCTCTTAGATTTGTAGATATCTTTGATATTTGTTTGATGACTTCAAAACTATTTAGTTGAAAGAATAAAATGGATTATTTGCGATCCTCACAACCAGCCCTTTTTGATATGTAACATTGAATTAGTAGATTTGCGTGACTTCATTTTCTAGTTTCCTTTCCAACTCCTCCGATTTGATATGTAACACAATATGTAATAGTTTGTGTAACTTTTATTTCTATTTTACCTCCTCTTCTTCAACTCGTCCATATATTGAAAGGCTATTAAAATCTATCTATGCTAATATTATAAAAAGGAAAGATTAGATACCTAATAGTTTCCAAAAAAACTGTAACATTTTTTAAAATTTTATCATTGCAAATTAAATAGCTAGTTGCCTATTTATTTTGAGTACAAGTTTGTTTAAAAATATAAGACACACACACGGAAGCTTCAAAGCAGTGAGTTTTTTTTTATTAAAGATCTTACTTGGAAGAGTTTAATAACAAAAAGCCGTTCCATTAGAATTGTTTCGTACTCTAACATTCTAAAGAAGATTAAACTACAAAAACACCCAAAGCTTCTATTTTAATCGATCTCAATATTATTAAAATCATTATCTGGCACGTTAATTCATCACTAAGCTCAAACAGAACGGAATAAATTAAACGCACCTTAATTCGAAAATTATAAGCCCTTGTATTTAAGTGTGAGCAATAACTTTACGGAAAGTCACGTTAAGTCGATGAATATAACTAACAGTTTCGCCATAATGACATAGAAATAGGATTCAATGTATACAACACGTTATTTTATTAGTTTAACTATAACACAATTTACTTTATAATAACATATGAAATTGAATTAGTTCGTTTATGATCACTTAATAATGGAAACAAATCAAAATATCAAATTATAGAAACGAAAGGTTGCAAAATTGATTCTAAATAAATAATTTCGAACAAATAAATAAATAATAGACAACATCATATACATTGTGAAGATATATCTAGAGCCTTACATCCCACCAAAAAGTCTCATTCCAACGTTATTGTGAGGGATTTCAACGCCAAAGTCAAAGAGAATCGGTTGTAGGATCCTATGAGTTTGTTAGTAGAAATCATCGGGGGCCGAATGCTAATCAATTTTCTCGAGAAAGAGAGGTTCTACTTGATGAATTCGTTCTTCAAGAAACAGCCTGGACATGGCGAAGCCACGTTGGCAAAACTAAAAGTAAGATCGACTTTATAATAGGCAGACAGGAAGCACATATTTAAAGATGTTTCGGTGATTAATAGGTTCAATACCGGTAGTGATCACAGACACCAACCGAAGTCCAAGCTACGACCAAACTTGATCGAAATTATAGTAGGATCTGAAAAGTTTTAGTCAAATTTGAAGGTCCGATTTGCTGCCGTAGAAAAAACAAATGTAGTCGATGTGAATCAGGCGCTCGAGAGTGTGTTCAAAATGGCAAGAGATTCTATGAAATGCAGCGTACACCCAAGAGGTTAAAGTTTTTAGGGAAAACCCTGCGTCTCGTGGGGAAACGACGGGAAGACCCACCCACCACTTCGTCAGAATGACAAACTTTGAACAAGAGTATAAGTAAACTGGTTTGTGATCTTCGGCGCTCCAATACGCGTTTTATTGAACAAGCAATTAAGCAGGTTTGGGGTCAAAAGTATTCGTTAAGCCTCTTAGGAGAAGCTTTCTGATAAAGTTGACTACTAGAAATGGAGTTGTTGCGTCAGCAGGAAATCCTTTCAGAGATTGAGGACTTTTATAGCTGACTGTATACTTCGCATGTATCTCAGCCTGAGCCCAAAACCTACAGTGGCAGAGCCACACTAACCCATGACTTTACAGAAGACTTGCCAAAACGAAATTAAATAAGACGAAATTGAGATGGTTCTCAAACAGCTCAAAAACGGAAAAGCTCCAGGCAAGGATGGCGTTACGAATGAGCTCCTGAAGGCAGGCGGTAAGCCTTTATGGAAGGAACTGCAAAATATCTTTATTGTCATTATTTTTGAAGGGAGAAGTTGTCAAATCAGGACTTGTGTTATTTTATTTAAAAAAGAATACAAAACTATAAGACAGTTATATGGAGAATCTGAGTCAACGAAGGTATCACAACACACAGACCCGAGACAATATAGAAAAATCCATTTTCTACATTGACCCGATCGAACCCAGGATTTCTGAGATACTGACACCTTGAAATTGGCGTGCAGCCACTTGGCTATTGAAGTCGTCATCACATATATTGCTCAGATTTCAATATGATTAGCT